AAGCGAGAGTTTAATTAATCAAAGGTAGTGTATTCGTTTTTGAAGACTGGATGACGCAAATGAATGACAAAATAGTTCAAAAATTCTGTGTTCTACATATATCTTTATAGAAATGTATGTATATAATTATAAGACGTTTATTCTTACCTGCCAGAGTCTATAGAATCTACTAGATTCTGGTAGACCCCATTAGATCCTATGGACCCCAGTAGACCCTAAATATGTGTTTAGAATGGGTGTAGATAATCAAGAAATTTTGAATTATTTTGTAATTCATTTATGTCATGAACTTTATTCAGTAGGTCTGGTGTGTTATATACAGTCATAAAAAGTATGTCTCAAGTCTTATAACTTGATCATGCAATAAAACGAATATACTATATATTGAATTGGTTATCACACGTTAACGAAGAGATAGAAGAAGCGATGTAGTAAAATAGAAGAATAAAAACACAAGCAATCCAAATATACAAGTAGTAATGTTGGATAACACCAAAATGAAAAACATGTGAAGCAATCAGATCCTAGATGAGTCATGGCTTTGCTATCATATTGTGACATCATTTATGCACCTGATCTTACTTTCGAATCGATGATTTTAATGGGACAAATTACATATAAAAAAATTCAAAATTTAACTTATAACCGAATCACATAGTTTTAATTAGAGGACGATTTTTCTAAGTTAGAGTTTTCGACTGAAAACGTTTTGCTTCTACTGCCCTCTTTAGTTTCTCTCTTTACCATAGGCATTTTCCTGATGCTTGATTAATGAAATAAGAGCTACTCGTAATCAGTATATTATATCAATCTGCTTTTTCAGTTATAGAGTATAGTATATGAAAATCTTTTGAATTTACTCGTAGGACTAAAATAGATATAGATGTCATTGATGATAATTGCATCTGCTATTTATTTGACAAAAGAAATGTATCCTAATCCTTTTGGCTGTATACCAACGTGAGTCATAGGAAAAGGGTGGGGTGTGGGGTGTGGGTGTGGGTGTGGGTGTGGGTGTGGGTGTGGGTGGGTGTGGGTGTGGGTGTGTGGATGTGGGTGGGTGTGGATGTGGGGTGGGTGTGGGTGTGTGGATGTGGGTGTGGGTGGGTGTGGGTGTGGGTGTGGGTGTGGATGTTGGTGGGTGTGGGGTGTGGGTGTGGGTGTGGTGTGGGTGGGTGTGGGTGGGGTGTGGCTGTGGCTGTGGCTGTGGATGTGTGGGTGTGGGTGTGGATGGGTGTGGGATGTGGGTGGGGTGGAGTTGGTCTTCTCTAAATACAGATCCACACCCCACATCCACATCCACACCCTTTTAATCGTTATCCAAACTCCAAATACGTACACCAACTTAAAATAAACGTGGGATGTCTTAATAATCAAAGCAAAATTTGAAGTAGTTGTAGAATGATTAGGTATCTACAGGAAACCATAAAGTGGGTATAAAAAATCATTAAGTAGCTATAGGAATTCATTAAATAGCTGTAGAATCATTAAGTAGTTGTAGAGAATCATTAAGTAGCTGTAAGAATTCATTAAATAGCTATAGAATCATCAAGTAGCTGTAGAAAACCATTAAGTAGATGTTAGCTTTTTTCAAAAGTATCTCTTTTGAGAAGCTGCGCACACCCACACCCACCCACACCCACACCCACACACCCACACCCACACACCCACACCCACACACACCCACACCCCACACCCACACCATCTAATTCATGGCAAGTTGTTGATAATAAATCACCTGCAGTATCTACATCTTGTCAAACTAAATCAGTAATCGAATCACATCCATCTGTCATCAATAACAGTAATGCGTCAAACGTAATGCGTCAATCATCTGTATTTGCTAGGGTGTGGGTGTGGGTGTGGGGTGTGGATGTAGATGTGGGTGGAAAGAGACAACACCCACACCCACACCCTAGTAATAATTAAACATATTGTTATTAATCGACATGAAACTCACTATATAATCTTTATATTAGCTTAATAAAAATCTATAGAAACAATGATAATAATTTGATTGTTCATAATTTATTTTCTATTCAGTCTGTTTGAATATTAAAACGTTGAATTCGATGATTATTAGAATCAGCAACATAGAGATTTCCATGTTGATCAAATGCAATTCCTTCAGGACCATTCAATTGATTTGAACAATTTCCTCCAAGATATCTATCACCGGCTATGATTTCACCATGTGTTTCACCTTCACGCCAACGCATAATTCGATGATTCCAATGATCGGCTACATAGATTGTACCTGATTGATCAACAATCAGCCCTGCAGGCCGATATAACTGATTAGCATCTTTACTATTTCCATGACCACCAGCAACAATAATTCCTTTCTTTGCATATTTTTCCCATTTTACAACACGATTATTGAAACAATCCGATACATAAACAGATTGTCCTGCATCAACAAAAATATATGTTGGATAATTTAATTGAGAAAGTCGATGACCTTGACCTTGACCACCTGCTACAATTGTTCCATATTTATTACCAGGTTGATATCGTCTTACTTCATGTTTTTCTGTATCAGATACATAAACATATCCTTCCATATCCATTGCTACACCAAAACATGCGATATTTTCTTTGATTATTCGTGTAAATGTACTCGTTTTTCGATTCCATCGTAATACTCGTCGATGTCCACGATCACAAATAATTAAATCTTTTGATTTTACATCTTGAATGACAGTCAATGGCCGATTCAATCGGTCAGATTCTTCTTTATCAGTTTTTTTATTACTTATTCGTCGAGCTTTCCTTCCATTCTCTGTATATTTCATAATACAATCATGACCAGTATCAGCAATGAAAATAGTTTCATTATGGCTTACATAAATACCTTGAGGATAATGAACACGGTTCAATATACCACCAACGATAGTGATACCTTTCGATTTCCATTGAGCATCAGAAGGAATGGTTGGTACAACTAAGAAAATTAAAACTTTCTTTAAGAAATAAATAAAAAAGAATTTTCATACAAATGATGATTTGATTAAGATAGATTTTTTGATATTGTTTTAATTGATTAATAATCAATGGTTGTTGTGTTCGATTACTTTCTCGATATACAAGAACTTTTATATGTTTGAAAATATCTATAATAGTTATATTTTCTGTTGCGATATGATCAAGCAAATATTTGCTGAATAAATTCTTTGAACTATGTCTTTGATTATTACTACAAATAAACTGTATAGATTCACCAATAGATGAATCTGTATCATTTATATCTATTCCTTTGATATTACCTAAAGAAAAAAAGTCATACTACTTTTATAAAATCATCTTAAATATCACTAACCATCGGTTATTGATTGATTTTTGAAATAGTATGGTGTCGAACAATCGAGAATAAATATTGTCACATATGATTTATTCTTTTCTACTAATAATTGAAGTGCATGTTGAATATTAATAGAAAAATCTGCAATATCTTGTTCATTTTCGATTTGATTATCACCAATAGGTATTAAATAATTATGATTTTCAATCTGATAACCATGACCAGAAAAATAAAATAAGATTATATCACCATCTTCGATTCTATTGGCAAATTGTCGAAGTATAACATTCATTTGATCATCTTGTTTGATATCCGTGTGTGTTGCATTCACATCGAAATCGATTGTTTGTAGTAAACTACTCAAATCTTTTGCATTCTTTGCAGAATATTTTAGTTTATTGTTCAATTGACTATAATTTCCATTTCCAATAATTAACGCGATTTTTCGATGAGTAGGATTCGTCATAATCTATCTTTATCTAAAAAAATGTGGCATGAAAATTTCATTTCTAGAAGTAAAATACTTTTATCAAATAGAAAACCAAATCTTTGATATACTGATAAAGAAAAAGTACTTGTATTTTGAATCAGCGAAAAGCAAGAAGACAATTTTATGTTCTCATTTCTTTGCATATTTACTTTTTGATAAAAGACATTCATTTATTATTGAAGACGAGTGAATACATGGTATTTTTCTTCCAACTTACGAATAATAAAAACATTTTCAATCTGGTTCGACAATACGATATGCAAGTAATGGTGAAGTATCATTAGCTTAGAAAAGACTTCAAAAGATATTCAAGTTAGTATCTTAACATACGACACGTAAAAGCATTCTTTTTTGTTAGTGAATCATTCGAGGAAATCGGTTTATCTACATAATTATAAAAATAAAAGTTGTAGAGAGTTAAGTGATGTGTTCAATCGAGAAGAAATTTCTTTTGAAGAATTTGAGATCTGCTCAAGCTTATAAAACGATTTGCTTGGGAATTTATAACTAAAATGTCAACATTTACTTTTGCAAAAACGTAGGTATTTACATTTTGGTTTTAGATTCTCGAGAGAATTGCATTATAATCTTGGACTGATTTCAAAATTACGATCAAAACAAAATGAACAAAAACATAATGCTGCAACACTCTGACGCTTGCTTTATATCAACAAGCTGAAATACTTGGGAATTTTTTTTTCTTTTCTATGTTAAAATGCTCATCGTTACTTCTCGAAATAGTAGACACAAAAACAAACTTATTAAATTTCATTTTGTTACTGATACTTTTATAAAACCGTCATGATTAAATAGTTACATTGTTCGACAAGTATCCACAATATATTGTGTGTTTGAATCTCAGTATTGCCAGACAAGTCACTAACGAATAGTTGTCTCAGATGACTGATCTAATAGTACGCTGACTATATTACTAGTCAGTATGTAGAGTCAAAAATCACTTTAATATAGATACCACACTCACATTGACCACAAAGCTATAATTATACATGGGATAGCGTTAGACGGAAAGGGGTACAAATACTGCCGTCTGTCAAAATAATCCGACTGCATGTGGATCTCTGACATAAATAACTATCGGTCGGTCCCTATGGGAGACTAGCTTAGAGAAGTTATTTCCCATGTCTTCAAAATCGCCTAGGTTTGGCAGATGAATCGCGATAAATCTCACAAGCAATCGGCATGAAAAATCGTACATTCTTACGAGATTTTGACGATATAAATAGTGTAATATTTTATGATGCTAAAATATCTTTTATCAAAATCCAATTACTTTCTGTGATTGCATTTTTGTCCTCAAAAAAAATCACTACTTGAGACGGTTTTTGAAAAAGAAATCGTCGAGCGAGTCCCAATATATTTGCCGATTTCACCTCCGATTTTGAGGACATGGGTGACACTTTGTAATTTTTTTGCCAACAGATGTAAACTTAGCAATTGTCGTCGAAAGGAGCTACATTTTTAGTCTTTTCCAAATTATCAATCTTCCAATTTAGAAGAGATGTAACCATCCCTTCTTTAAACGTATCGACTATTTCAGATATAGACAAAACATGACAACCACTCATGAGAGTTTATCAGATCATCGTAAATTAGCATTAATTATCGGTAATGATAATTATCATCGATCAGAAAATAGTCTTAATTATTCGATTCAAACTGCTAATGAATTAAATAATTTGCTTGAGCAGATTGATTTTCATGTAACAACAAGATGTGACTTGGAAAAGTATGATATGACTACAACTATTGTTAATTTTACAAAAACAATTAAAGATGGTGATTTAGTTTTATTTTATTTCTCGGGACATGGTTATCAAGTGAAAGATATCAACTATTTAATACCTATTAATGATGCTTGGATCAAAATGGATAGAGATGTTGAAGATTTTGGGATAAATTTTAATCGAATATTGAAACGTTTTGTAGAAAAGAATTCATCGTATGTGAATATATTTATTTTGGATTGTTGTAGACCCTATGTACCAAACGAATCGATAGGTTCCAGTTGTATGTACCAAGATTGATGATTACTAAGTAATTACGTGTTGTTCTTTTTCTAGCTATGATGAAAAGCCAGGGTTTATGTACAATGGAATCAATGAATGCAGCATTTATTCAGTTTGCTTGTGCTGAAAATGAAACAACTTCGAATAATTTATTCACCAAACATTTACTAAAACATATCACTGAAGAAAATGTTAATATTGTTGATATTTTTCAACGAATAGTAGATAATGTATATGAAGAAAGCAATCAAAATCAACAACCATTATCTATCAATGGATTAAAACAATATGAAGATGTTTATCTTAATTATGTTCTTCCACCTGCTTCAGGTAAATCTAAAAGTGAATATTTTACTTCCATCTACATCTGATATGAACTAAAATTTTCTTTCGTTTTTAGTTATTATATGGGATGAAGTCGAATCAGAAGAAAGAGAATCAATATTAAAAGAACAAGATGAAACAAAAGCATGTTACGATAGCTTTCCAAATGTTGACGATATGATCGATCCAGAAAACGAAGATTTTAAAAAAGCTGAGGAATTTACTCAATCGATTTTATCTGAATTACCATCAGGAGAAATCGACAAGACGGATACACTTTGTCACATTATAAATCAATTATTCCAAAATGAAAATCGACAATGTTTATTTTTCGATTCCAGACAAGGGATAAAACTTTATAATACATTTGAAAATTTAATTGATGTTAATTTTAAATCTATGCCATTCGTTTTAAAATTAATAAGTATGGCTGATCTCGGTAATCAAGAAAATATTAATGATAAAGAAGATGATCTACGAATTATTAAAACATTAAATGAAGCTATTCGACAGAACAAATCTCACCCAGTTCTGAATGATTTAACCGTACGATTAGCGAACGCACATGACACTGGCCCGAAAAATATTGTTGTAAAAAATGTCTATCTTGGAACATATAGTATAGTATATACAGTAACAGATTTAGCAAGAAGTACAATTGAGGCTTTACAAAAAATTTCAACAAAACTCAAAAGTCAATTCAAACAATTTGTTGCTGCAAAAGTGCATCCATTATTGTATCGACCAACATTTGATATAGTACAGTTTGATGAACGTGGAGATAAAGATTTTCTTCATGAATCAGGAACATTCCATATGGGACCAATTGGACGAACTCAAATATACACTCAACCAGTTGGTTGGCATAGACATGGATGGAATGTATTAGGTAGATATCCAAGTGATAAATGGTTACATCCATTTCAAGATCCTGAGAATTGGTATAGAGCTTTTCATGGAACGAAAAATGCAAAATTAACAGATTCTGAGAGTCCAAAAAATATGAGAATCGATTCTATTGATGTTCTACCCAAGATTTATAATGATGGATTTATTAAAGCAACATTTGCTGTACATGGAGAAGGTGTCTATTGTTCTCCAAAACCGACTTTTGTAGAAAACAGTTATGCTGGTACAGTTAAATTAAATACTAAAATGGGTGAAAAAGTTTTTAAAATTATGTTACAAGTCGCTGTTAATCCTGATGGTGTTCGTGTTGCTAACGAAGACATCTGGGTCGTTCAGCAACCGGAAGATATTCGAACCTATGGGATATTAATTAAAGAAATTCATTCAAATACAAATCAAACAGTTACTTCAACATAGATAGTTTCAACGAATGTTACAAACGTTTTTGTTTTGTTCTCTTCAGAAAAAAATATCGATTTGTGTATTGCTGTTTTTATTGCTTAAAAAATATCTCTTACAACCGCTTTCGGATCACAAAAATAGTTTATAAAAAATAAATCTTAAGGGTGCGGGTATGTGTGATGTGGGTTGGGGGTGGGGGTGGGGGTGTCGGTGTGGGCGGGTGTGGGTGTG